ATACTGTTCCATTCCTGATCCCAGAGTGACCGTTGTCTGCATCACTCAAGGCGATTACGTCGATGTTCTCGAGTTAAAGGGAGGACCCAGTGTGGCCGGTATGAAAACAAGCCAAAACCTCTCATTCGTCGGTAAACACTTCGCATGCCAATAGGTCTTCCGTGTTCTGCAAACCATTCATTTGCAATGGACCTGGTAGTGGAGAAACGGTCCCTTAAGGCCAATAATCTTAGGCGGCGATCTTCACGGTCTGTTGTTCTACGGCGGCGTCCAGTGCCCCTTGCTGTTTGCGTACGGTCTTCTCGAAGCCATGCCTGACAACACCTAACCACAGTGTCTATACTTCTTTGCACTCTAACTGCAATTGCCCGAAAAGAAAGTCCAGCTTCCCGAAGTCCCACTATACGGCCCCTATCAAACTCACTAAGTTGACGAAATCGTACAGGTCTCCGTACTCTAGGCATCGTAACCGTTCGTAAAGGATGTCAAGAACCAAAATCCGCCAACGTTGATTCTTTACTGCGGCTGAAATATTCATTTTTAGAACGTTAGTGAATTAGAAAAAAGCAGTATAACAACCGGAATGTCCAACTGATAAGGCTGAACATTTTTTCACTTGTTATTTACAGTAAGATAAATACATTCACCAACTTTTATTAAAATAAAACCATTTAAACTGGGTGTTCGGATTTATATGTCACTTAGTATACTTAATGCATCTTATACAACATGCAAGATATAAGATAACCATAACAAATTCTCTTGGTTGGTCTGTCTCTATGCTAAGCTAATTGGTCAATCGTTGCCCAATAAGCATTAAAACATTTCTTTATCTTCCCAAAAAAACTGGACCGGTACCTATCCTTCAATAAAAGATGCTTATCACATTCTCAGATAGATACTGGCGGTACGCCCCGAACAAAAACTAGTTAATCAGACACTCGGATTGGTCAGTCACTATAAGCGATTGCCAAATGAACAACGCTCTTCTTATCCACTCTGCGAGTCGATTCGTCGGGAGTACACGATAGTTTTTTGTCATCCACAGGCTGTTATTAGATGTATCTTTTTTTAGTATAATTTGGCTATTGTGTGTTTGCTGCTTTCGTCTGACCACTATGGTCAACTATTTCGTGGTTTTTGGCAGCTCATTAGTTTGGTCTCTGGGACAACGAAAGAAGCATAGCAAATTACTCGTAATATCCTCTATCCGAGGATAGATCAGGCTATTCTTGGGAGTGTATAGAGACATTTTGCTGGGTGACATGTATGTATTTTATTAAATAACATCAAGAATCAGTTGCTTACGAAATTTTAACAAACTGTGAACTCAATTTTATATTGCAAAAAACCGTCTTTTTGAAATTTATTTTTTACCAAAATATACATAGATTGAGATTGAAATTTAAAAAAATCCCCAAAATACTTAATATATATATATTACCGTATACTGGGTAAGGTGTACACCAAAACAAGTTAGTATTCAAATTTGATGCTCAATGAAAAAGTTACCCAATAACTTTTTTTAGATCTCTTGATTGAGAACCCTTTTATTTATGTTCAACAATAGGTACTTTTTTTCAACTTGATTTTTTGGCAGTGAGGTAGTCTTACATCAAGAATGAAACGATAACATTATCACGACATTTTATTGACAAGTAATAAGAAAAAAATACTGTGTTGGGCGACCCCGCAGTTGAATAAACTCCTGTATACGTCTAGGCATCGGCAAAATGATATGAGCGATGTCTGGTTGTGGCACCTCATTCCAAGCAACTCGAACACACAAATTCGATGGGATTCAAATCCGGTGAACGGGGTGGCCTCAGCAAAACATTAACGCCTGCTTCTTGAAGAAAGCCCGTAGTACGACGAGCAATATAGGGACGTGTGTTGTATTGCTGAAAAAGGACGTGTGGACGGCGCTCTAGATAAGGTACTATAGTGGTTTGCAGGACATCATCCTCGGTGGACCAGTCGGTCTTCTTCGTGTTCCTCTACCCTCTTCTGTCCACACACGCATTACAGTCATTGCAGAACAATTAACATGGTGGCCAATTTCTAACCCTATCAAAGTTGCTAATATGGTGATAATTTGGACGTCTTCGAACTCGATGCATTTTATTATGCTTATCACTAGTAAAAGAAAGGGCAATAACTAAAAATATATGTACTCAGCTCTCAGAAATTGCTTTCTTCACAAAACTAAGAGATAACATTTCAACAAAGGTAAACAAAAACAAAGATAAAACGTTGACATTGTTGCCACAGCATGGTTTAAATATAGTCAATATGTAGCCAAAAAAACAAGTAGAAGAAATGATTTTTTCTGCGTGTAACACTTTTAATGTCACCGAGTAGAGAAAACCGTCTCATACAGTTTTCTGAAATTCTAGATATTCTTGTTTTACAAATCTTTAGATGAATGTAATCTACTTGATTTTATTTTTCAACGATAATATCACATAAGACAGTTATAGCGATATTGCCAGATGGCCAAGGCTTTATCGACACGGACCATCCTGTGAATCACTGGTCGAAAACCCGTGACTATTTTTACGACCAGTAAACTTTCTTTTTTGCTTTTGAGTGCGCTGCCAACAAACTGAGTTCTATTGCCTTGTACATAATTTTCCTTTGATTTACCTTATGATTCATGGACAGCTAGACCACGTACATGTTGGAATTTTCCGCCTTATCAAAATAATAAATAAGGATAAGGGAAATGAAGTACCTACCTATTGTCAAAGGAAATATTTCCGTTTTACAAATGGCAAATCAAGACGTAGTTATACAGGGTGTTATACAGGGTGTTCCTGAATGATATGCGAATATTTAAGGTTGTGAATCTACATGAAAAATTAATGTTAGTTTGCTGTATAAACTATGCCCAAAAATGTTTCCTTACAAAAACTCGGGGTGTTGAAGTGTTAGGAAAAAAATTAAAATTAATTAATATTTTCAGAACCGTTTCAGATATTTTACTGATATTTAGTATGTAGTGAAAGTTAATGAAGTTGCATATTTTTCAATGCAAAAATAATTTTTTGCTCTAACAGTGGCGTGCGGACGGGTATTGACTTCGATATTTATAAGGGAACATTTTTGGACCATAGTTTATAAAGCAAACCAACATTAATTTTTCATGTAGATTCACACCTTTAAATATTCGCATATCATTAAGGAACACCCTGTATATGTTGGACATAATATTAGAGTTGTATTTTCCAATCCGATAATTCATTTATCCAGATCGCAAATGAATTTGCATTATGTTAATCATATTCAGATATATTTACTTAACAAAATACGTACTAGTAAAACGCATTTTTATGTCACATGTCTTGGTCACAGGTTTGATAAAAATCTGAATTAATCCGGAAGAATATAGAAAGTTATATTACAAACATAATTGCTTGTACTACAGAAGGTCGAACGCAGAACAATAAACTGGATCTTTATTACCGAACTATTTTGTATTCTGCCATTTATAGGATTTACATGTTTGTTGTTTATTTGAGACGGAAAACTATTTTTAACTTGGTGCTAGTGCGACACTACTTAAGAAAAATGGTGCTCAAACCGAATTTGAAGCCATTTTAAACGTATATTTGGTCTTGTTTCTAACGTGCACTCTATTATCTAATGAAAAACTGCAAAACTATGCGAGTTGTTAAAAATCCTTTTGCTTCCCGCGCCTACTGACGATGGAGAAACAGTAATCGCGAAAAATTTCTAAAATGAGATTTTTTTTGATGTCATGTACAACACAAAAAACATGTCACTCATTACCTTCGGTCTGTCTGTCCGGTAATCCTTAGACCATTTATATCTTGGGAAGTACAGCTCTGTTTTGGATGAAATTTTTACACAAGGTTACTACTATGCTAAAGATAAAAAATCTTTTAAGCTTTTGAAAATCGTTCCAGTGGTGGAAAAAAATGCCATAAAAGAAAAATCGTTCAAACTTTTTTTTTGACGTTTCAGAAGATCATTTTTGAAAAAATGTTTAGGGCTAAAAAATCGAGAGTACTATTTTTCATTTAACGTGATATATGATTTACAAAAAGGTTAGCTGTAACTCAGAAACCTTACATCAAAAGAAAGCTTGTGAAAAGGAGAATCAAAGAATGTCAAAATATACATGACGTTCGATTTGAATATTTTGAGAAATTGTCCAGAAAGTTGAAAAAGTAAGTAGGAAGGGAGAATACATAGGATTATATACATTTTCTGACAGAAATTTGTTGGTACTCTATCTATAACAGTTACGGAGATGAGAGTTATCTAAGCAGAGTGGCCTTTTTTTCGATAGTTTGTCGAATATCTCAAAACTTTGGAAATAAAACCCTATAGTATGTTCAAATCAAATAAAAGGTAGGCTTTCTCGTTTAAAAATTATGTTTGGTTCACCACGTAGTTATGAATCATCCTGTAGAGATGGAAATATTTTACAAGTAAGAATACTATTAACTGCATCTCTTGTTATTAATTTTCTTAGATACCATGCGAAATACTCATCCTGTATAACTTGAATAATAATATAGCAGAACACGTTTCCCTTAAAGCTTTTTTCTGATGAGACTGACCTTGGCCTGGCGTCTCAATGTCAATATATAAACAGAAGGAAAACAACTGGAAAATAAACATCTTTGGGCGTGAAAACAAAATGTGGAATCGATATTTTACATCCAGATGGGAGCCAAGGAAAACACGTGGACACATAATTACAAAACAGGAGCTGCCCGTGCGGTTTTAATTAACTCCGATATTGAAATTTTTATATCGTCTGTAAGAAAGGTTTACTCAATAATTGAGTGACCGGTGACGTGGCTGTGGGGTGGCTGGGGGGTTTGAAAGATACACTATTCTTCCCAAAATACTCAAGAAATTCGACTCCATGACATTTCGAAACTGTCTGTTGGTCAAATTTGAATTCAGCATTACAAATTAGTAAGCCTAGGTATCTAGTTGCTTCTCCTAGGATATCATTAATATGGAGCGAGGTATCACTCAAAGCTTTTCCTAGATCTGCTGTCATTGTCAATAAAAAGCTAACAGGATGAAGTAGAATTTGGTATAAGAAAAGGTTTTAAAGGCTTTTTTTCTCATTTATTACAAGTAGCTCTTCAATACACAAAACTAATCACCATTGCATAGATCTTCATTACAAGTCTTGCACTTTTTCACGGCTATATTAGGAATAAAATCAAAATATTCACAAGTCATGCCACTGCTAAGACAATCTCTTATAGTTACAGATTTGTTCAAAGGGCCTGAAAAGAAAGAAACGTTGTATCAGTAGGTATAAATTAATTCTTAAAAAATCTCGAATCCAATAATATTCTAGGCTTAACCAAAATCACTAAAGGCTGTAGTTACTATTTACCACGATACTTCTACACGTCAAACCTTTTTTAGCGGTTTTTCACAATTTGCTCGAAATTTTGAGCATGTGTGGGTCGACGGACCTTAGATCCGGATTCAGTGCATCGAAATACAGAACCCTAGGTGGGCTTAGCCACTATATTTATTTGCAATAGCACAAAATAATGATGACATTACGAAAAATTCTACTTCCGCACGCCCGACTGCAGACAGCTAATCTTGGACAGCTGTTTCACGCTTTTTAGCTACTCATCAGCATGGTCTGGGCTTGGTCTCTGGGACAACGGACGATGTCTGTGTTCGGACAGACGAAATGCAGCATGTTTAGTTGTTCAATGGCGAGTAGGCCGCATATATTATACCGCCAGAATCGCCGGCCTTTAGCGGTCACATAGGTGACCTAGTTAGCAAACACGAACAATCTCTTTACGATTCTGGTAATAGATGTCGCATCATACTGGCCTATTGCGAGTTGTGCAAAACGTAAATGCATGTCACTATGACAGATTTATAAGATAAAAATCTTGGACTGACCCCATGAGTAAACTATAGTAGGGACTGATCGACACGATTCAACACTCTCGATACTTACGAACAAAAAAGGTTACTTGTAGACAATCTGTTCCATGTCGTCCGTCACAATCTACGGTAGGTGACGTGGAATTTTGATGATCGACACATACGTCATTCTCGGTTTCCCCCAAGTCGATGCATTGGTAGCACTTGTGACAGTCTACTGAGGTTAAAGCTAAAAATAAAAATGCATGATGAGACAAGTTCTCCGGTTTACAAAATATTGCATGCCCGTCGGTGATAATGCCCTGTCAAAATGGAGCACGTGGACTAAAAAGTGGGACTTAACGCCACTAAAACCAATTCGTTCAGTATCATTTTTCACCCTATTAGGAATATTCTTTTTTTTTCACTTTTTATGAGCTATAACTGAACTACATATTACGTATCATATGACATGATAGACTTACCTATAAAACCAAAGGCTAACAACAAAGCTGTTTTACAATATACCATAATCATTATGTGCTCACGTTACTTAAAGGCAATGAGTAGAACCTAGAAACTAGTTACCTACTTATCTATTTATAGTGGATTTATATCACGTATGGGATTTTTTTTTGTACCTATGCGAAAATCTTATCTTAAGAGGTCTCAGAAGTCAATACCTACTTGTATATTCTCAAACGTTAGCTGTATTTAATTCATAATCCATTACCATTAATATAACTGCCGTAAATGAAATTCTGAGTATTTTACTATCAATGAAAATTCCGAAAAATACTTGCATACCTGCAATCACAACCAAAACGCGCGAGTTTAGAGACTATACGCCAAGTGTGTCTTTTTTTTCAAGAAAAGGCGTACCCCATCTGCCGTTCTTAAATTGTCACAAGGGTATTTGGTCTCAGAAGCGATGCTTAACTGCTGCAGCATGAACCCATTCAATTGTTACCGATAACTTCACCCCCAGAGACAAGACGAACAACATCCTGAACATGAATGCTATGACTGTGACCACCGCTGCGCCCCCCAAATCCGCCGTTGGGTAAATTTGTTGGCAGTTTTTCGCTGAGGCCCTAAAATGCTCATTTTCCTACTTAAAATAGGTCACGAAGCTTCCTTCGCTTTAGCCACGGGAGATGAAAATGGATTTTTTTACTGTTTAACGGGAAAACGTTGATGAAAAGTTCCAGAAATTCCTGTGTATCTACAGTCACGACGAATAAAACCTGCTTCTTGAGTAAATCCTGTATAGTTCAGAAAATATCTTCGCATCTGCTCGGAATTATTTTTGTTTCATAATCTTATTTAAAAGAACCCCTTTTAATACATTTGAATGTTGTCAAGTCCAGAATTGCATCACAAATATTCATTTTTGGACAAATACAAAAATTGTTTTTTGATTTACTCCGGTAAAGCCTTTTTAAGGTATTTTGTGTTATTCCGATCAAAACGTTCTTATGTGTGTGTATGACTATTTCTCATAGATGCCGCTACAGTATATCATTTTCTCTCAGGATTCCTCGCCAGTGGCGTGGGAAGTAAGCAAAGGCTTGTAATAACGGTACGGGCTAGAATGCTTCGGGATTTTGCTAAACCATTTTGAAGAATATTTAGAAACACTGAAAACATTAAAATTTTTAATTTTCATATTGTCTTTAGAGATCGAATATTGCAGATTTAGCGTATATCTCTCGAAAACTATCAACTATGGAGAACAGTTCATTAGAACATTTTTCTTCAAAGTGATTCAAAAAGAGATAATACATTATCCGGGGCAAAAAAACAGTTTGTGGAATTCGTTTAAAAAATTGTTTTTATAGTCTTTGGCAACTATCTTGGATCCTTTTTGAATATACGATTATGCAACAAACAGTATCAAATAATTTTTTCCAAGCAGATACCTCCCAGTTTCCGGATTAGTAGGTGGATGGACAAGTCTCTCAAGTTTCGTTTCTTTTAAGCTTGTCAAAAATAGAATTTTTGCAAATATAAAATCTAAATCGATTTATACATTCATTTCTAAAATATTTTAGCCTTCGTTTTTATACAGAACCGCATATTCTCCCATTTCAGCTGGTCAGTCGGTATCAATCCGCCGCTTCAATGTGACCGTAGTAGCTCCGCCCACATCAGGGGCGGATGACGTCACACACGATATGGGCGGTCCTGGCTGTCCGGAGATACTCTCGTCCCCTGCGAGTGGCAGGCACAGAGCCGGAGCTCACGGCCCATTCGCTAGTATCCTCTTTTAGCCTTGTGGTCAAAAATAGAATTTTAGCAAATATAAAATCTAAATCGATTTATACATACAATTCATTTCTAAAATATTTTAGCCTTCATTTTTATACACAACCGCATATTCTCCCATTTCAGCTGGTCAGTCGGTATCAATCCGCCGCTTCAATGTGACCGTAGTAGCTCCGCCCACATCAGGGGCGGATGACGTCACACATGATATGGGCGGTCCTGGCTGCCCGGAGATACTCTCGTCCCCTGCGAGTGGCAGGCACAGAGCCGGAGCTCACGGCCCATTCGCTAGTATCCCCGAAGACCACGCCCTAGATGACCCTCCACCACTTCAACCTCCTTCGGGAGGCGGGGGCCAGCGATCTAGGGGCGGGAGTAGATGTGCCTCGCCGGCGCCGTCGTGGGACTTCAGTTTGGAGGAGAGCAGCGATTCGGTGAGTGATTATTTTGTTGTTTATTCGAGAAAGAGAACGTTATGTCCGTGTTTTCTGGTTAAAATAAGTGGACAAGCAAAAAACCTCACAATCGTGGGCGAAATACGCCGCCTTGTTTTTTTTCATAATCATGTGTGTGGGATACGTTGTCAACATCAATCAAGGTGTTGCCGGGGCTAAACCTGGGCAAATTTGTTTGAACAATTTCTTTAAACAAATCATAAAAACATTTATTTTTAACTTCGGATAAACTTTTTCAAGCTATTTGGGTTATTCTGGATAAAAAGTAGCTTCAAGTAGGTCTCTGACGCACTTCCCATGCAACGCCGTCACCAGTTCGTAAAGGATTATGTTCAGACCCCTTTGAGAAAATAAGTTATTTTCGAACATGTATAACAGATAAATTAAACGGATCACATCAGTCAAGCAGTTCGACATAATTAGTCGATAAACATTCTTTCCCTGACCTACCGATGGTCCATCTGGCAACGTCGCCTCAAAAATTATCAAGAACGGCACGCTCGCCAGCGATCTCAGACAGCAGAAGCAGTATCAAAAGCATTTCTTTATTTTTAAGGGCAAATGTACGAAGAAATCTATGATGTTTGAAATATGTCGAATAGGTGCAGAAAACTACCGAGGCTGGGAGCGTATAAACATACTAACATAAAAAATGCGTTTAAAGGTAGTTAGTGTCCTTCTCTCTAAAGTTGACCGTTTTCATGTTCTGAAAGCATCAGAAAAAAGAACTCGGTCTGAAATTATTTTTGGGGTTTACACGTGACTCTATTAGATTTCCCTACAGGATCCCGAAGCGTTTTGGGCTTAGATATCTTTTTAATGCATTCCTATTCAACTGTTAATAATCCATCAAACGTGATTAGGAAAAAATTAAATCTGAAAACTTCTCCTACGAATGCGAGGTCTTCATCTTGTCCAAAACAATTTTGCGTGATATCTACGAGCTGACATTGTAGATGATGTATGAAATGTTTTTTTTTTCGTAAAGGATCATCTATTGACACTTATGTTCACAACCCTCGGTACTACTTTGTTACTAATCTCTCAAAGAAATCGTACCCATTTTAGTGATACCTACGTCCACATGTCCAACAATTCATCATAATTTATAATACCCTAATAAAGAGGCGAAATTTCGACCTTGGAGATCAGTCACGAATAAAAAACTTGGTCGATGTGTTTAAAATAAGAATGCCCCAACTGTTTCGCTCCTAGGAGTTCCAGGTTTATACAAATATATCCAAATATTCAGCGTATAGTACGAAATATGTAGCAAATAGTTTCCATGCCTATGTCCCAGAATGTGCGACAATTTCTGGTATCGATACCGAAAGGCAAGTTTTAAAAATGGAAAGGTAGGTATATAAGAACAAATATATCTATGTCTTTTTCAAAAGTTCGCTTCTTAAACAAGGTGACAAGATTTTTATGAAAGTTAAATATTTTACATCCTGTATGCCTCAAAGACGTTTATCTGGATTTGTCTTCTTCAGTTTGACTTCAATACATTGAAATGCTTTTCAGCACTGTTTCTAACGACGAAAACGTTGAACAGACATGAAGTCGTAGCTCCGTCGAAAAATCAATTTTGTTGGCGTCGCTTCCGGGTATTCAGGATCACCAACGTCGTAAGAACAACATTGCCACAATTATTTTTCTCAAAAAGCCGCTCATCTTACCCATGTCAAATGGGAGTACGTCCTTTGACGCTCGAGAACCAAGCTAGGTGTGAAAAATTGTCGACTCGGTGTAAAAAAAGTAATTTATTTGCGGCCGGGAAGGAAAGTATTCTTCATGAATGGGTTTACGGGCGTGAGGTTCCATTTTTTAGCACAAGGACTCAAGTAACCTCAGCGCCGACTATGAGCACCACATGACGAACAAGAGAACTGTCATTCATTTATCGTTAGGTAACGATATCATATTTCCGAAACAAGAGTACTTCGAGTTTGTTTTTTTATTCTACTTAAAAGCTAATCTGGATTTTCGATTTTAATGGGTCGTAGATAAAATTTTGTATGTGCACGATAAACGTTTATATCCTTTGGCGTGTTCAGCCCTCAATAAATCATTAGAGTTAATTTAAAACAAGTTGATTAAAAAGAGAAAATGAACGAATAAAGCCTGGTACCGATAAGTATAAAATACTACTCGTTGCAGCATAAACAAGAAGCACAGTTAAGAGTTGAAATTTTCCTAACTGTAATAAAAACACATAAATATGAGGGGATATGTAAAAGGGCTGTGAACAAAGTGCTGGGCATACTACAATACAAGTACCTAACTACACTACATCTGATCGCTAATTAATTAAATTCTCCATTGTTTGCTGTGGTTGGTTCAAAATGAATTGCTTTAATGCTTTTCTGAATGGCACTAAGATGGTATGTTGTACAGCTTGGAAGCAATATAGGTATACATATTACATATGAACGCTGCCCAACAAACTTTTACAGAAAAGTCACGACATGCTGATGTTTTTGCCGTGTCTGGTACGGGTGTCTTGACAGCATAAAGTGCTGTTTATTACTGTAATGTTTGGTGATAACTTTAAAACAGATAAGCTAAACTCCCGTATTTGAATATTTTCAAATACGATGATTTAGTTTACGATGGCCCGATGCGATTCGATCTTTAATTCCACGCTACGGACAATAACCGCCCATTTACGCACTAGAAGTAGAGATAAATAACTATTACATAGAGGCGTTAAAGTTATTTAAGAACACCCTATATTTAGTAGTGTATTTTAGAGGCTGAGATCCTCACGACCCCATAGAAAATTCAACATTTTCCATCCTTCTGAACCTAATTATTTGCATTCTATACGAATTCAACCGGGAGTGGACCGAGTTTTTACATATACACATACTATATTTTTACTATATATAGCCTGTCCATCATTGTAATTGAAAATAAAAGATTCATTATCAAAAACAGTTTTTTTCAATCTCATTTTTCTTATTGTCTATATCCATCTATCATTAATTTGGTGAGAAATCACACCACACTTATTATTATCTACAGGTAGAATACTTTGATCACTGGTGGAATCTAGCAAACTTAACAAAATTGGATTATAAATCTGAAAATAAGGTAAGAGTGGTTTTGCACCTGAAATTATTTCAAAGCAATTTGTAGGATAGTAGTACTAAATTATGTATAAAGCATACCTACCCTGCTTTACTCTCTAAGAAATAAAGTCTATCATAGAGATAAGGATATATTTTAATAAGTTAATATGCAAGACACTTTTGTAAATTGAAACGGGAACAATATTAAAAAAATCTTTTAATGCATATCTCTTTTACATAAAGAGACACAAAAAAATCTTCAGCACAGTACACAGTTATAATTGTTCTACAGTTGCAAACAATTCTTTCACATTACACAATTTAAAAATAATTTACAAAATTTAAGCTACATAATATTCTTTTTCTTTCACTTAATGCTAATACAGTTTTTGAAAGATGCATAAGACCCTCCAGCTACCTTGAAAGCGAAACTTCCAGTCACACTGACAATCAGGTACAGTGGTATTATGCAAGCATAGTAATTTTGATATCTATTCAACAATGTTAAACATGAAGCAATCAAATGAGATAGTACAACATATCCCAAATGGACCAAATTCTTATTATCACATGCATTGAAGAAAATCACACTCCAGAAAGTATGTAGAAGAATGAAACACAAACTGATTGCAGCACTGCTTATGAAGAACATCTCGTTGCCAGACTTGAGTCCCATCGTTCCTGGCCCCACAGCATCTGCTACTACATTCACAAGCGAGAATGCCCCACTCATAATCCCAAAGCCCAGACCACTCACATAAGCGAGGATGTGTTTGTTCTCAATAAGCGTAGCACTATCATCAGAAATCTTCTTGAAGCCGCTCTCTGCCTTACGGAGGATCTTGTAAATGATATACCGGAACGCTTCTTGGAAGAATACGCTGAAAACGAGCCCGAAAGCGAGTTCTTGTCGGAGAGGCACCACGGCGAACCACAGCATGGAAGATAACAGCAATGAGAGCAGCCAGAAGAAGGCAGCTGCGATGAGAATGATGATTCGCACTGGATCGGAGGCGATGGTAAAGATGAACATGGCAAACGGGGGCCCGAAGGCTAAGAATGTGCAACCGAAAAACTCGCACACCGTCATGGTTCGGCTGTGTTTATGAGAAATGTTCTCAATACAGATTTTCACATCTTTTACATGGGCCTTTGGTTCATTTCAAAGTTTTTTTCACCTCCTGTTTTATTATTCTGATTTGGGACGATGAGAAATTGAGAATTACGACTTACGACACTCATGACAGTTCTAGTTGTCATTAGTGTCAGTCATAATTCATAATAGAGGGGGGGTGTGTTCGTAAGATATCGATATGTGGTAGAGATGCGTATATTCAAAATTCAATTCGCTCACATCGACGATTCGTTAGTTTTTAACTGCACTGACAAATCTGCTAGACATTTGAAACATGCAAGATGAAAAAATAATATAGCAAGGCAAATCTATTGTTTATGCAAACAGAAGTTTTGTGAATGGTTGAAATTCCGGTGTAGGTATTTAAAATTTGTTGGCTTTTTGCTTATAATTTCGTTGCCAACTCAAAGCACCGATTTTCAAAAATGAAGATAAATTTGCTAATACCCTCTATGTCTCTGGCGCTTATCGCAAAGTAATACAAATTTTCGTGAAATAAAAATAGTAAAGCATCCAAAATAACCTATCTGAAATTCAAAAACTTTTTCTATCACTATACTTGACAGTAACTGTAAGTTGTTTGCTGTATAAGAAAGAAATAGCTCATCATTGCGTTCCAGCTCATTGTTTTTAATGAACAAAGAGGTAGCATTTTCGTTAAAGTATCGATGTTCGATTTCGTCCATGCTTTTGGTTCGCCCATCACTATTCTGGGGATTTTCCATATTTCGTGTTGGCGAGATCGATCAGCTGGCACGTTGACAGCTGTTCGCAGCGCCTCTAGCGGTCTTCATTGAAACTCCCATGAATGACTGCTGCTGCTCCTTCCAATATATTTTGAACCCCTATTAACGTAAAAACTAGTTAGTCATTGTATTAAAACTAATTTGGGGAAGTAATGTACCCGTTACATTTATTTACAAACAATTTCTTGTGCTAGTTTCTAACATTTCCCGTTTGTCTGTGCGAAAAGTGGTGTTGACCAACGTAAACAAAGTGAACTCCAAAGTAGTGAAGTGCTGTAATTGCTGCTGATAAACTGTTTTAGTGATTATATACTCTTCAACCAGCTCTAGAGGGTTTAAATTATGACCCGTATCCCGGAAAACCCTCTAAATTGCAGCTGAATCTGAATATCGTAAAGGTAACCTTAAAAATGACATTCGTTTTCTGCAACTGCTTTCGCATATGTTTAAAGAGCCTGTGTGTTTAGCATATATTTATATTAAACTTCTCCAAAGCTGTGCCGAGAACGGCGGAATATTGTCTACATCAAAATGTCACTGTGGTTTGGTTATACCAAAATAATAATAAGCTTCAGGCCTGTAAAAACTCTTATCTAGTTCAGTATCCAAATACGGGCATTATTTTTCATAACTTTAGGAACCCTATGCGTCTCTGGGCATCCTTAGATTATAGGTGGAGCATATAAATTATATCTAAACATGTATGTATTACAGATAATGTTACATAAGGAAGTCACACACCATTTGATGATTAGTTTATGCTTCAGTGATATATGAGTTAAATATTTAATTAGCTAATTTTGCTCACTTGCCTAGACATAGTTAAGCCATTTACTTTAACTAGATGACAGTTTTATGTAAATTTGTGAGTCACGTATAGTGTAGCATAAAGATTCACACACACATGCACAAATAATTCTTTCATAATGTTATGGGTTTTATAATTAAATTTTTTTTTATTATAGGGTATTCCAATATAATTTTGAGTATTGTTTTTCTCATACCACCAGTTATTTGTTTGTATTTAAAATTAATTTTTGCTTCTAAAGGTGAGCAATTGATTTATCATTTTGTAGCATCACCAATTTTTTAGTCTGATGTATAAATTCAGTAAACCTCATTATACAATATCCTTTATTTTTCAAAATTCTTCTGTTTTTCAAATCTAGGTATTTTCGATTGTTTATCTAGATCTGATTTACAAATTATTTCAAATCCCTTCTACTTTTCCAATATATATTTATAAATTTAATTTCTTATAGGTACTTTTGCATTGAAGTATCATTCCCAGCTTATCATATTTTATAAGTAGCTAATCTCATAACATGATTTATGTAATGTATTCACTTGACTGAAAATTAAGACCAGTTTTATCAATGGAATTTTTTTGTTATCCAATAAAAAATATCAAATTAATTTATATGACAAAAATACTTTTATGCTTGCATATTTGGGATCATGTGAATGCTTTTTATTTGGGTAACTGATATCAATGTGTTAAAAAGTGGTTTTATAGTTATATCAGTATTCTGTGCATAGTAGATTCATAGTCTAGTTTTAACTGAATTCACAGTTTGGTATTCTTATATATGTTAGCTCAATATCAAATATAAAATATTATATATAGTAAGCAGTTGCAGATATTTATTGTGTAGGGAATATGAGGTTGTTGTATGTACTTATATGACCTTGAGGTTACTTGAAAATGTTTCTGAATATGGTGGTACCAGCAAATCAAATAACATGGAAGAACAAATATTTCAACTAAATAAATAACAATAGGTCTAAAAGTTTACCATCAAAAATACATTAAAGTTCAATTAAAAAAGTTGATCCAATATCTTGTAGTTATCAACCTCAAAAACATAGTGATGAGAGTGATATTCTTCTTAAGTACAAAAAATAAAGTTATTTATTGTTATTGGTAGTTATATATTCACATTGCATCTTGCATAAAATATCTAATGTTAAATTAATTCAGCAATTATGCATCATTACATCATCAATTAGATGAACAATTCAACTGTGTGTGTGTTGTTCAGGTCTAGTTCTCTTGTTGAAACATTTATTGGATAGAGGAAATAATGTGCATTTGCATGGAATATATATCTGACTATGAACTATGCATAATAATTTGGAGATGGTACAGTTGTTTTTGTTTTAATGAGCAATGGCAACTGTGAATATATTTTTCAATTGTGATTTAGTCAGTCGATTTGCCTATGGGCTTACTTCCAACATTCAATGTATAAATCAGTCAAAATAGTAGATGAATAGTGTGAACTTTCAATTTTCTGCAATCACATATGCTGTAGAAACAACTTGCTGTTGCTAAAGTTTCGTGATTTTCGCGTTTCTCTTCAAGCATTTTTATTCGTCGCGTGATAAATGCTGCAAAAAGGCACTGTTAAAACAGAATACTAGGGCTGATATGAAAAAAAAATCATGAATAATAAAAGTGATCTTTAAGTTGTTTAAAAACTAGATGAGGATATTAAATTTTTGGGATACTAGTGGAGTACTTGTAGATTTTTGAAACATCTGAAATATGACTATAATGCATCATCACGATCTAGGATTAATTTGCACATCTTCCTTTAATACAAAACAAATATATCATCCCCCAGTGTTCACTCTTCTTCTAGCTCTTTGTGAACAAAAAAAAAACAATAAATAAAATACTGGGGTTGGAAGCCCAGGTATAATATAATGCCTCAACAAAATGATATATACCTTCCCCCACCCCTACAACCCCCAACTGCCTGTTGAAAATATGACGTTTCATTTTCGCATCCCCCAAGCTTTATCATATATATTTGGAAACTTGCATGACACACCTTGATCGTCTTATTGGATTAAATATCTTTTCTGGAATATATCTAAACTTTGGATTGAACTTAATAAGTATCGGTGAAGAAACGTTGTTGTCGCAGATCTTGACGCCAAACGTTCTGCTGATAAAAATGCCAGAATAAACAAATGACGAATAATATCGCGTATGCGTATCATGCGACGGCTGCGATAAAATCTTAATAATAACACCAAACATAGACAAAGTTTAAATAAGAGTATGATGCTATGTAAATGTGGCATCCGGGTGCTTGGTGTGTTTGTGATCGTGAATAATTGTGGGACGTAACAATACTTTTGTGTATGTGTAACCCATTGATTGTGAGTGATTAGTTAGTTCTAGATCCATTTTTTAAACTCTGAAATCAGGATCCTTGTACTCCAAATAAACCCCGCTAGACGACGTATTCGTAACCAGTGCAGCGTTCCAAATTGTACCGCGTTTTGTTGTTTGTAACCCACGTAGAACGGAAGTCGACATTTTTCACGGTGAAACTAAAAAACTTTAAGCAAAAACTAGTTATACCGAAAGAAGACGGTTAGACGAGGTGAATGGAATTTGCTCCTCAGGGCTCTCGTTCACGATGTCGCCGAGCGATGAGCCTGCCAGACATACCCGTCTCCTTTTACAGCTGGGGTGCCCCGGTATGTAGGCTTTTGCCTTCGCGCCTGCTTCGGTATAAAAAAAGAGAGAGATAAGAAAAACATGACGTCCACAAAATAGCTTGTGGCGTTCAAACATTGCTGTTCCTGTTCTTATTAGGTCACAGGTAAATGCGATGTTGCCAGACAGATAATGCTTTCTGTCCATCAGTGACAGTAAGAGCATTTTTCTCTCAAATTTTCTTTTGTTTGGGCATTTATTCATGGTGGGGATAGTTGTCATTCGTTTGCAATAATTGATGACTCAGTTTAATAATAAATTTTATGTAACCTCAAATTGCTTATTTGACGATTTATCGGCGTGTTTCACATGGTTGCCTGTTACCTAGACTACCTCGTGTTAAGAGGATATATTTTTGTGTGACTTTGACGTAACCATCAAAAACCGCGAAAAGGACTGAACTCAATTCAGCAAATGTAGCATTTTCTAAACATTTTATGTCAGCATGGCAACACCGCCTCGGTGAATGCAGAGGCACCTTGGCAGAATGTCGCACCACCTATGCTGTGGTAAAAGGCAGTAAAGTGTAAAAATCGAAGTCTGAGAAAAGTTAGTTCAAAATTTTGGATGTTTCGAACTTAATTACTAAAATTACATGACTTTATAGAGAGTTATTTAAATGTGATTTCGGATCTTCCGTGTTTTATTGTCGTAAATTAAAAAGCAGTAACATGTGATTTATTGCTTTTTTACTCTGCAAAAACAAATTTACTGTTTTTATTCTTCCAAAGGAAAAACGCAGAAACGTATTTTATTTTAACCTAATTTATTCATATTGAAAATATATATAAAAAATAATTATATAAGTAAACTGAAAACATGTTTTCTTATTTGTTAAATTAAACGAAGAATAAAATTATTCTTTTTGGCAAAAGTAACTATAACGGATAAATGCTTTCATTCACAAATAATGAACTATTACATAAAACCTACTAAAAAAGTAAACATCATAATTGATTATAAACGGTAAAAAGGCATTCCTTTTTTTCACGTTTTCTCTTCAAAAAATCTTTGCTTTTGTTGAAAACTCAATTTGTTGCAGAATGAGGTTTGAAGAAAAATGCATTTTTTGACATATGTCATATGAAAAGGATATAGAATACTGCTCCAAACAGACAGTTTAAAAAAGGACCCTAACGATTTTTAGGTCTTTTTTTGTTCAAGCAACAAAACGAGAGTCAATACAGGGTGTCCGCAAAGTTGTGGTTTTCCTTTTCAGAAACAACTACCCTTGAAATAACAAAGGTAATGTGTAGTGAAACGAGGGCGACCAAGTAAAAAAAAAATAAAGGAAAAAGTACTCACTCTCCAGTTGACGAGAAGGGCTAAGTACGTCTCTGCCCGAAATCATACCGCTCCAACAGAAAATGAAATCAGCTGATTCGCTACCGAGCAGACGCAGGCAAACAAGGAAGGCAAAATGTTGCGTAAAAAGTCTAGCTATTGCATCCCGTCCAATCGATTTGGGAGAATAAATGGTCGAATGAGCATATGCGGATTTTCTACTGAGCAAACATGAGTGTTGCGAAGTTATTCACCCCATTACGCGTGAACGTAGATTCGTCTGTCACCAATATGCACTTCAAAAAGGCCCGATTATTGTCATGTTGATGCAACAACCACTCACAAAACCGCACTCTTGCTGGAAAATCGTCAGGTTGAAGGGCTTGTACACGTTGAACGTGAAACGGATACAGCCTCTTTTCACGCAGTGTTTGAAACACTTTAGTTTTTGATACTTGCACTTCTCTAGCCACGACTCTAGTGCTTGTTGAGGGATTCTCGTCTACGCGATTACCTCTACACGCGTGACGGTAACCGTCGGTTGAAGGTTGCATACTGACCTGACACACTGACCCCGACCCAGTTCTGTCGTCGGGTTGAGCTAGTGTCCTAGTACCACTCGGGGATGTCGCGCCTACAGGACGGTATTCAGATATTTTTGATGTTGCAGAGCCCTTTATCTCGGTGCCCTTAAGACATTGGTGTATATGGTACTAAGAAAAATTGCTTATGTTTTCAAGATCTACACGTCGTGTAAAGGAAAACTCCAACTTAGCGGACACCCTGTATAATTGTTGCGTGCATCTCATCTTAACTCAATTCGGCAGCGTTATTTTCAGATGAAAGTGATCACTTTCGTGTATGTATGCTGGTACCACCATTGGCTAGTCCTTGAATACTCAATTCCCTATACTATCAATCAATTCATTCATCTCACTTGACCATGGTGCGTCCGCTCAGATGGACTCTGACGTGACTCTGAGCCATAGTCACCACCAGCAGCAGTCCACTTCATCGCCTTCTTCAGCACCAACGTCTCCGACCTCTTCGAGGAAGGCGCCCAACGGTACTGCCGGTACCCGCACGCCCTCCGGGCCATCGACCTCGGACGACAGTGACATTGAGGACGACCTAATTTTCGCTATTCAACATAAAGCGGACGTAGACGAGGAGGTCGTTTCCGGCGGGTTCCTGCAGCGGTATTTCAGCAATCATAGTAACAGCTTACCGTCAAGGTAGGGCGCAGGTGATTTGCGGTGAGGATGTTATTTGCTGACAATTGTTATATGAGGGTTCGCAGTTTTGTTTATATTAAATTTGTATAGATACTTGATAGATAATCGGTATCAGTTCTATAATATATACTAGTAGTGTCTTTCTTTGAATACAGAGTCAACTACTTCTGCAATACCAAAGCCAATTTGGGCAAATAACTCTAAAAATGTAAAAAAATTAAAGATAAATACTCACTATTTATTTGGTAAAGAATTTCAAGAACTGCCCTGTCACATATTTTGTTTGTAACCACTGCTTGAAGTTCAAAAACACGAGTTTGTTTTCATCTTCCTAAATCTGAACATTTGGGGCTGTCTAGGCCTTCAACTGTATTCAACCTGACGGCTTTTGCTCGATATAGACAAACATGTGCAGCTGTGATGGAAAGAAACATCGAAGACGACGGCGACGTTCTAAGTACACTCGCGGGGTATCAACGGGACCTTGAAGATGCTCATTTCAAATCGATTTACCAATTTATGTTTCTCAAATGCGGTATGTTTATAAACTTGATTAACCCAGATATCACGCGACGCCTGATTTGCTAGTCTTTTTGCGATGCAAATGGAAGATTGGAGGCGATATTTTTACCTAGTTTCTCCTTACTCTAGGTCCTCGAAGTTGTTATTGGACCAGCCCCATAAACCATCCCTTTGAGTTCTCCCCAATACCAGAAATCCATCAGGAGATCTTGCTGGCCATTTTCGAGGATCAGGAGCATTTCGACCGATCCAGCGATTTGGATAATCTTCATTCAAATACTGAATGACGCCTCTAAAAATGTGTGGTAGTGCCCCGTCATGAAGAAACCACAAATTCTGTCTCCGTTGTAATGGCATGTTGTCTAAGGTCTGTTCCAAAAGTTCTGGTAGGTTATTGGCTAGAAAGCTAAGGTATCCTTCTCCTGACAACTTTGGGGGTAACTCGAAAGGGCCAATTACCTGATCGTCAAGAATACCCGCCCAAAAAATGTTGTTGGAAATGACCTTCACGAATGGTATGAGGATTTTCTTGGGCTCACGTGTGAGTACTATGGAAAGTTAATATCCGCTGATATCTGCATTGATTTCCACGATATTTAAAATGTGTTCCTCCTGCTCTACAGTAACCTGTCTTTCACGAATGCGAATATTAGTGGGCTGAACACTTCCTGTATCTCCAAGTCTTTGGTACACTTGCACAAATGTCCTTCTGCCTGGGTGTACCCGTTGGCGAAATCTGTCGCGATCAATTTGAGCTGCAAGATTTGAATTCTGACGAGCTTCACCGTAAACTAACAACATGTCGACGAACTCTTGATTCGAGAACATTGTAAATAAATACTACGACGTACGCGAACAAAAACAAAACAACATACTAACCACTGTTACCGTTTGCGATCGATTGTCGGTTCGATAAGAGTGATGATGACCGACGCGCTGTTGTCATGTGTGTTTTAAATATTCAATTTAATGAAACTTACTGACTACAAATTTTGGCTTAACTAAGAAAAACTTGATGCCATTTATATGTTAATTACCCAATTTAAAAACGGTTTAGATTAGATTATAAAAATTAGTAAGATTGTGGTGATTGTGGTCGATATAAAGCACTTAAAGTTGTAAACTATAAAGCCATTTAGACAAAAATATATTGACTTTTGGACCATGGGTCATATGAACTTTTTGACTTCTTTTGACTCCACCTATTACCCATTTCTTTAATGACTACCATAACGTTTACACCCTGTATGTATTGTCAGCAAGTAACATTCCCTCACAATTAAAAAAAAAACAAGATTTTTCACCCTAACCCCGTCCCCAGGCTAGCCGTAGCCTCCCGCCGGCTGTCCCAGTGCCGCGAAGAAGACGAAGAAGAAGAACGCCGTGACCAAGTGCCTTCCAGCAACATGTCGACGATCAGCGGCAGCGACAAGTCGCTCAGCGAGTCGTCGACCGGCTCGAAAACGTCTGTGATCGACACGGTCACCGGACCGCAGCATAAGTTTGTGATAGTGAAGACGAAAAGTGCGCACGCGCGTGATGACGACGTCATAGCCTCGCCCACCGAGGGCGCGGATCGGACTGTGGGTGTTTGTGGTGGGGAAGTGGGGGCGGAGAATAGTGCTGGAAGTGGGGAGAAAAAGGAGGGGAGTCCAGGTAAGGATGAGAGATGAGGCGGAACAAAAGGTTTTTGAGAATGATTTTTTTCATATCGGGATTTTCGCTTTGTTGACTAACAATAAGAGCTGTTTTAAGGTTCTTCAAGAACATGTACTTATAATGCAAGTCAAACATATGCAGGTTGTATACAGGGTGGCTGGAAAGTTTGGACTTTTTCAAAATAAACAAAGGACCCCTCTTTTCATCTGATAGGAAAATTCAACTACTATCCTGTCACTAGGAAAGTCCAGGAAAACGATCTGAGTACACTCGTGAAGCCTCAACAGCTTCTTGAAAATACTGTATTAATTCAATGCTATGAAATCGTTCGTAATTTTTATAGGAGTATGTCATTTTTAGTTTTTCTAGACACACAGCTTGGTTTACCTTCATGGCGGGTGAAATGGTAAAGCGCTTTGAATCATAATTTATGGGTTTGTTTTAAGAGTTTGGCGTACTCGTATATGTTAGCAGAGAAATGAGTCTATAAGCGGGGTTTTCGGTCCACGAAGTAACTCAAATTTCAAGTTGATTGCATCTGTGAAATATTTGCATTTAATTATTTCATAATATTTGTATTTTTAACATTTTTTTTATTTTAGCACTTGGTTGTTCTTGGACAAATATGCCAAAACTGCGAAATTCTGACTTTTAAAGAAGAACCAAGAACTAGAATAGAAAGAAAAAATGTTGATAAAGGTGAATTTGTGTTATTTTAAGCACCGAAAGCTCCATTTGTAGATCCCGATTCTTTGCTTATTTGTTGTTGCAAGGAACGTTCCAACTTTAACCACCCTATATATTTATTTTTCTAAAGCAATCCGTCTTTGGTCATGAACATGATTGCATACATACAATATTGATATGTCTTCGTAAATGTTCTCAAAAACCTTTGCAGAACGTAACTGGCTGATTCGACTGAGCTGAATTAGGCACTGGGAGTGTTTTCTAATTTGATGTTTAAATGGAATAAAACAAGAATGATGTATTACGAAAATTATTTTTTTAAAAATTCGTGAATATTGCAATCAGTATGGAATATGACACATAATTATCCACCGTGCCTTCGTACGCTGTCACGAAAAAAATAATTTAAAAATAGCGTCAAGTAAGTTGACTTTCTACCTCCTACGCAAAGCTGTCATCAGTTGGTAAAGGATCGGCACATGTCAGCCTTTCTGAGAAAAAAGTTACGCACATGCAAAATTAAATGGCCTTCCTCCTCCCCCTGATAGAAATTCCTGCGTGCGCACATGATCGTTGCTACGACTGATCCCGCGTGGATGACGATATTGACTTTCACGTTCAACCCACATCAGTACGGATTTTTGATTATAGAGGACAAGAGACTTAATGTCAAATTGTAAATTCTAACTATGCTCTCTTTAAGAGAAAAAAAAAATGGCAATGTGAATCACGGTTTGGGAAAATTGGTTTCTTTCATATCCGGCAATGATCGAAATTGGGAAATTTTCTAAATGCCATTTTCTCAATCACTTTACCCCCATTTAATAAAAGGCTTCGTATCTCTTACCGTTTCCGAGATCCCAGTGGTGAGAGCCGAATTTAAAACACCTGGCATGTGCATAAGCGATTGGCGTGATATTTTGGTATATGCTTTATAATTTTGACAGTCAACTAACAAGTAATTTATATCAGGTAAACTATAAAATTTGTATATGCTTTTTATGTATTGCAACTAACTTCAAGCAATTACCAATAATTTATTTTTAGCAAAATTATCTACAACCATTGTGTCGTCAATCGCTAATTTTTACTCGCAACATGCATTAGACATCGAAATTCATTCAAGCGAAGTATTTTCTTTAAACAGTTTGTGCTATCCGTCCAGAATGTCAATGTTCGTGTTCAACATCGACCGTCGCGTAAGATTTGACGTATCTCCCAGAGCCCGCTTAGTTCAGTCGACTCGAACGCCCTGTAATATTCCGCGAACCTCGAAAGGCTACACCGACACAAGAAAACTCTCCGAAGCGGCAAAGATCTTTGCGAGCCGGAGGCAGTATCGTCAAGCGAACACCGTCCACGGAGTGCCTTCCCAGGAAGAGTCCCGTAGGCCGACTGCCGACTCCATCTTCAGGTCTCCGTTGCAATCGCCGCATTATGATACGAAGTTTTTCGATTCCTCGCTGGTGGAAATTAAGAGTACAACGTCGAGTACCAGTACCGTGGATAACTGTGGCAGTGCGGAGGATATTTGGATCAGGAGGAATAGGAATATTGAAAGGAGAAAGGTGAGTTGGGATGGTGATGGTGGTAGATTGTTGATGTAGGACTCTCGCGGAGAAGTTTCGAAAATGTCCAAGATTGTTTGATGTGATGATCTTACGGGGGTTCAGAAGTCCTAAAACATTGCCAATACTGGAAAGTTTCATCAAATATCAATAAAAACTTGAATACATGTTTTCGTGGTCGCTGATAATAATCGTCTTTAATTATGAAGTTTACCTCATGTAATTATTCTTCCACTTGTCCCAAATATATATATATATATATATATATATATATATATATATATATATATAATAGGAAAATAATGGGCAAAATCCGCAAAAAGACGGAAAGTGGATTCGAGCAGAAAATAGGATAGGTAACCCGAGCGATACGTATTTGTGCTGGTTGGCTTCATCAGGTCCGAAATGAATGCACATATTTAACTACAAAAGTAGATACACATGCCCATACATCCGGATACGGGTGTAATATGAGGAAACGAAGATGGAGAGGGACAAAAATCACATACGAAGTCCACAACAAGAGCCAACCTACACATTGTAGTATAAAATGATCTTTGTAGATCCTTTGGGCT